ACGGATCACAACTATACATCATCAATTGTTGTTTTAGTATGTATAGCAGAGAATAAATCCTTCCCGTCGTGATGAATCTGATGGAACGCAAAAAGCAGAGCCATCACTGGGGATATGTGGATCACTCTGATTGATTTATGGTTTGAGCGAAGGAATAGGCGATGCTCGCGCAGACCTGTTCCCACATGTGGTAATTAGGAACCAATTATCTCACCCCTGGGAGCAACCGTATTCTCCGAACGAGAAGTGGCCAGCCAACGGTCGGCGCCTACATTCTGCATTTGTACACGGTTGTCAGAATCTGATGCCACGACGAGTTTAATGTTTGTTGACAACCGTAAAATAAGAGATCCCTTCGGCGGTGGCGGCTGTCAGATACGTCCAAAGGTCGTCCATCCTTTCCCGGTTTGAATCCGAACAAATAATATGACAGCTTTTATGATAACACTAGGCAGACGGGATCGCTTTTTCTCTCTTTTTGCGAGTTCAGTTTGCCGACATTAATGCGGTGACCGATCTTCCCCGATGTGATCTCCGCGCATTCGTATGGACGTTTCTCAAGGCGAACAGCAGAATTATCACTTGTTGAAATCTCGTGATCCTTACCGCAGGCCACCAGCTACTGCTGTTCCGTTTCCTGCAATTCAACCTGGCTGGACCTGGAACGAAGTGGGAGATCGTCGTCGGTTTTCCCCCATAAATGGAAATTATTTTTAATTGGACTTTCTTTATCGCCCCATGCACACACAGAGAGACCACCGTTGCAATGGCGTCCCGAGGGAGCACTTGATGGCTAGTCAGCTTACTCTCCGACGTGGACGCGAGCAGAAATTAATTACATATACAACTTTCGCTCGGGCGTATAGGAAGAAGCAATGGCAGCCACGGTTAATTGACGATCTATTTTGAAGGAAAAACGGAGGCACCGTTACCGATGATGGTACCGGCCGTGACCGGTAGTGCATGCCACCGCGCACATGATGCATGTATGATAAAAATGATGCCAGTGTGTATGATAGATTGGAAACCCGGACGGCATTTGTCTTCCAGGCATGGACAGACAACTGACCTCAATTGAATCGTTTTTAGACTCAATCCATGCGTGATGCGTGGGTGCATCGCAACGACCAGGATTGAAGCGTGGGAATCATATGACATTTCTAGAGCTGTCTACAGACAGTGCCATTGGAACTAATGCTGGCCTAATATCAATAGATTTTTTCCGAGAATTCTAAATCGTTTTCATTATATGTCACAGTGAAAGCACCTACCAACACTAGCTAATGATTGCCGAAAGTACCGTTATGATCAAACCCACAAATATTGTACCACACATTCATATATGAATGTCATCGTCCAGTTTCGCTTTCCACTAAAACCGGCCTGTAGCCAAGCCCAACGCAAAGTCGAATAACTATAACTTTTATTACACTCCATTATCACGCAGTTTTCATATTTTAAAAGTAGGTACTTCTACTGCGTTGTTGCCACCACGTGGAGGCCCAAGCAACGAGAAATCCCGAAAGCGTATTTCTCATGGTCATTAACCGCCACAGTGCTAGACCGTTAATTGTATAACCATACGAAACGTCCCTGACTGGTTGAATTATATGAGGAAACATCTCCAGAGATTGTAAAGACCAAATTTACAAACTCTGCGTTCTAGCGTTTGGGAACATAAATTATACACTGGCCACCCACTCGCTCGCCGGTACGTGTTGTAAACACATTACCTAAGCAAGGTCATGAACTTGCGAACTGTTTGGCCCGCAGTTATAATATCTATTGCATAAGATCCTCAATAGACAAACAGCCGGTGCGGTGGTTACACAAATGAGATTAATGCATCATCTTCTCAATTTGCTTGTGAGACCTCCTCGTCGTTCTATCTACATGGGGTTTTCTATGAGCAGGTGAGGTAACGTGAGACCTGGTATTATCTGCAATTTATTATTATTATTAGCGCTATTCAATTGGGTGCAATCTCGTTGCGCCATCGCAAAACTGGCAAGATTTTCGCTTCGTCCCAAGACCAAGAACATCCCCGGAGCGAAAGAAAGGCGGGCGGTCAACGGAGCGATAGACCATGTTTAATTAATATTTTATTTGTAATGCTCGGGACGCTGTGTGAGACTGCTCTCATACAGCGCCAGTAAATAACATAGAATTAGTGTGTTTATTAATTGTGCAGAAATTAATTAACCTATCTGCTTCCTCTGCAATTTTATCAACCTTCGATAGGTGGGACACGAAAATGCTTGCCGCGTGGTTGCGTTCTGGACAATGTTCCGCAAGATGTACCGTTTGGGGAAAATATATTTTTCTCGCTAATTGTCACCTTAGCGGGCTGCGTTCCGCAGAGCTTTGCAAATTACGGTTCAAATTATGAGGTAAATGTCACGTCATAGTCGGTTGAATCCGTGACAATCCTTAAACGAAATGACACCTGATCAACGAAGTTGCCACCCACAAGGTCACCTAGGGGAATGTTTTCCCAAAACAGAAATTAAACGAATCGGCGTCCAATTAAGAGAACCCCCTTTGCTGCCCATCTCAAATAATTGTAGCCAGCTAATCCCATATGGGGCATCGTTGGCATCGCGATACGCCCAGATCTCGTCACAATAGGGATTGAAACGCTCGCAAAGGTCGGGTCACGGTATGTTTACCTGCCGTTTCCCGTTTCGTCTTGTTAGATGATGATAAAGGTTGGCCTAGCCTCCAGAGACTCAGATAGCCATCAAGAACAGCTATATTGCTAGTCCCCACAATACGGCCTTCCACGATCTGCTGTATGCGCGTCGCTGTCGTTGTTTCGATAGAGGAAAAGGTAAAGGTATTCCAATTACCCCAATCATCTAGCGCGGTCGTTGCGGTGTTTGTGCTGTTGTTAGGCTCCATGGTCAAGTTGTGTTTTTGCTATGTTCTTGTCTTATTAACACAAAATGGATCACATACAGGCACACCGTTCCCTCGGGTTCAGAACGCCGTTGGCATGCACTTGGTCATGTCTATCCTAGACTCCACGTTTGACATGGGCCATAGAAGATGCTCCCAAAGAATTCATAACAACCTGTTAATTATATTCTTTCTTTGCCTATCTCCATGGGTTTATGTTTGTTTCTTTACCTGTGGTGGAATAAACGAGCGTGCGCTCAAGCTCAAGCAGGGCACGTCCCAATGGTGTGTAAGGTGCGGCTTCTAACAAGATTAACCCAACAGTTTTTTTTTTAAGATTTGAATCCCCATCATTATTGTTAGATATCTTATACACCCGCACTTCTACTCGATTGCGTGTAGAGGTAAAGAGCGACACAACCATGATTGTTAGTCTAATAAATAGTGAACAACACGACCATCGGGTTGCATTCACATAAACACGAACATTCTTTATGTTTTTGCCATTTTTAATCTGACAGCAGTTTTGGACCGCAAGCTCTGAGTCTGTTATTATCGATTTTCTTCGATCTAATAAACCACCCAGCGTTCAGATCATATTCTAACGAGCTGCCTTCGTCGACATTGTTTGATCTTCTGCTTTGTTCCGGGCAGAACAATTTAATGATGACCAACTACGGCTACCTAGTTAAAGGACGATGCCTAGCTGTTTTCAGAACCAGAGAAGAATTTATTTGAAACCCAAACTATGCACTGTTTCAAATGTTGATTATCTTGAAGTGGATTCCAAAAGTTTGTATAATCCATTAAAATTATGACGTACCTACATCAAGCGTTGAAAGCAAAAACAATACCCTTTTCGATCAAAGGAAAATTGACATACTACCATCGTCTGTTTGACGAAGGTTCGAGCATTTTTTAATCACACTTGTTTCTACTAGGCCACTGCCCGATTGCAGTCCAGAACACGAAATTTGCATCGCAGAATAATAGCTTTCTCAGAAAGTTTCATTGCACTAGCATGCCAAATCTAGACCGGCTGTAACGAAACGAGTTTAGCCCGTGGCGGAACGGAATTCAACAATTTCAAACCGCAAGGTTTTTGTCACTCGCTGTTCAACGCAGAGAAAAGAATGGCTCATAAAAATATCAACTGCTCTTATACATGAAATACACACACTCGTCAGACAACAGCAAAAGCTAATCAAATCAAGCTCGCTCCAATTGTTATCATCTCTGCTATCCCAATAACTAATGGCTATGGGTGTCTGGAGCCTTCGCTTTTCACTCTCTTTCTGCTCGGAATGTCCATTGACACGAGCTGTGGCTACAAAAACTGCAACTTTCTACTTGCGCAATCTGCGCATCGCCACCATCAAGGCAGCACTATCCATTCAATGATCGAGAAATTATGATTATTTGTTCAGCCACTGCACAAGTCCGGAAGAATTATTTACGTTCTACCGTTTTTCGTCGCTTCACGCAAATTGATTGCAAACACATATTCAAAACCTCACTGGAACCGATCACAACTTACGGATCAGGCATGTCCCATGAATCGGTTGCACAAAGCACCTCAAACGTTTCCTAAGGAAGGCGCTATTTCGTTTATCGCACCAAATTTATCAATTATTATAATTATAAGACTCGTTTAGCCCGCAAACCTGGAAAGCATAGCGGAAAGATGCACAGGAATGTAAATTTCCGCACGAGAATTGGCCACTGTAGACCAGATTAAAAAGACGAGATTTGAATAAGCCGCGCTCGTCGACCGTCGTGTGTCATACGAAACATTTTATTAGTTTTCTCTCTTTCTACTCGTCTGTTCATGCCTCCGGTTCGGTTGGTAGAGTGGAGAAGATCACTATCAATATTGGTCAACCAAGTAGCTGGAAGGCAAACAAAACAAAACCCGAACGTCACGGAGCCGCCGGTGACCGATGCGGAAGTGCAATTTGTTGCAATTTTTATGATTCATTGTTAGCTATCTAACGGTGGGAATCAAGGGACACGAGCCAATCGACATGCTACACATTATTGGACATCACACTAGGTCACTTTAATTAACCGTCTCTGTTTTCTCTCTTTATTCTCACTCTTAGGTCTGCCAACTTCTACCAATCGACCATGACTTGCGAGCTGTCCGATATGGACCGTATCACCCTGGCTGGATCCAGTGCATTCCAAGTTGCCGAGACATCCGACTACCTGGAAAACAACTGTGCCGAAGAACCAACGAAGCTGTGCGAATTCAAGCGTATGTCTGGCCGTATTTTGAAGACAGTCGATTCCGTTTACCAGGACGTAGCCAGTGTTGATGAATGCCGTGAACTGTGCCTGAGCTCGCCATACCGCTGCCACTCGTACGACTACGGCGATACCGGAGATATGGTCTGCCGTCTGTCTCACCACAGCCGTGCCACTCTTGCCGACATCCAAGATCCCTACCTAGACGTGCCAGAAGCTGCCACCTATGAACTTTCCTCGTGCTACAACGTCTCGATCGAATGCCGCGCCGGAGATATGATTGCTAAGATCCGCACTTCCAAATTGTTTGATGGAAAGGTTTACGCCAAGGGTGCTCCCAACTCTTGCTCTGTTGATGTCAAGAACTCACTTGAATTCGAACTGCGCATGGGCTATCAAGATATCGACTGCAATGTCCGTCAGAACGGTCTTGGGCGTTATCTCAACGACGTTGTCATTCAGCACCACGACACTATCGTTACTTCATCCGATTTGGGCCTTGCCGTCACTTGCCAGTACGATCTTACCAACAAGACTGTATCCAACGATGTGGATCTAGATGTAACCGGAGATATCGAACCAGCTCTATCTGAAGAAGTGGTTGTCGACTCACCAAACGTTGTCATGAAGATCACTACTCGCGACGGTGCCGATATGATGCGTACTGCCGAAGTCGGAGATGCCCTTGCCCTGCGTTTCGAAATTTTGGATCCACAGTCACCATATGAGATCTTTGTTCGTGAACTGGTTGCTATGGATGGAGTGGACAGCAGCGAAATCACCCTCATCGATGCCCGTGGTTGTCCAACTGATCATTTCATCATGGGACCAATCTACAAGAGCGCAACGTCTGGAAAGATCCTTCTCTCGCATTTCGATGCCTTCAAGTTCCCGTCTTCGGAAATGGTTCAGTTCCGTGCTTTGGTCACTCCATGTATGCCAACTTGTGAACCAGTTCAGTGCGATCACGACGACTTTGCTGCTGGTGAACTGCGCTCCATCGTTTCTTACGGACGTAAACGCCGCTCTATCAATACTACCGCAGAACACAGCTTCCTGCGCCAACGCCGGGAAACTACTCACCAGGCTCCTCAAGATGATATGCTGCTTGTTCAATCGATCCAAATCACTGATAAGTTTGGATTCGAAAAACAACAAGCCAAGCCAAAAATCAGCAGCAGCGAAACTGTCTTTGTTGCCTCCTCCGATGCCCAAGGCATTTGCGTTAATGGACTCGGTAAGATCCTTGCTATTGACACGACAAGTTCTTCAATGTTACACATTTCTTCCATTACAATAGGTCTTATCGTTGCCGGAGCCGTCTTCCTGCTCGGACAACTCGCCGTTATCGCCATCTGGACCTTTCTGTGGCAACGTCGCAGGAAGCAGCGCCAGTTCGAGAATGCATCGATGGGCTCGTCGGTAATGCCAAGCCCGACCATGGCCGGTAGCCGAGGGGATTCGATGTGCAAACTTTACGACAGTGGCTATGCTGGAAGGCACTTCTAAACACTCTCTCTCTCTCTCTCTCCAAAACTACACATACAACACATATACCACATAAGGCTGATCTATTTCCACATCCCTGTACCCCACAGATTAATGCCTAGAATCAAAACCCATCATTGCACAAAAATTCATCATCATAAACTTCTAAAATTTCTTAGAGCACATCCGTTTACATCGTTTTAGGATTAGGTTTGCATATGTTTTTCCCTGTGCAGCTCGGTTCGAGCTGCGTGGAAAAAAATTGAGCAACAGAACTGCCATTTAATGGTCTAATTATGTAGTATTTTTCGCCTGAACCACCATCTGGAAAGGAAACATTTTTTGACGACCAGTAAAAATGTGAGAGAGAGAGAGTACTGGAAGCTGCCGGCGCACTGAATAGCACTACAACCCAGCAGTCATCACAGTATTCCCAACTCTCACACTCGCGCGCCTTCAGTTTCCCCTAGATTACATACTATTTTCACTGCCGTTTATCACCATTCAACATAAAATGAGAGAGTCGACACACTAGAGGGCGCCCATTCTACAACGCCTACAAACGATTCAAACATCAAACTTATCCTTATGTTTTACATTCCCAAAATAGGGAGAATAGGACGACTGGAGTATAGAACTGAAATTCACGAGAAACATTCGAATGCCTGCGAGAAGTGTGATTTAAAACCGATATAGTATTCTTACAAAAGCGAGTTGAAGTGAATGCATTGGTGTGTATGTTTTAATAATTGTGTGAACGTGGCATAGGCTTAGCAAATCTGTCTTTCTCGAAAAAGAAACTCACTAACAAAAATTGTCTCCTTAAACACGAAAAATTTATACTCCTTTGTCCTTTTCTCCCAACTTCTGAGCATAGGGAAATGACGATTTCCCGCGATGGCAACACTGCACCTGTCGCTTAGAGTTCAAACAAACGCGAAAATTTTGGTTTATTTGAGCTCCATGCACACATCCAAACTGATAAACAGCGGGAAATCCGAAGCAAGCTCTAAGCTCAATTTTAAGCATTTATCATAATTTATTTTTTATTCATTAATCCCCTTACTTTTAGTAATCCTCAGTGCAGAAAAACTTACAACAACAAAAACAAAAACACTAGAACAAGCCTTTCCCACTCTGTTTGTAATTTATTTTAGATCTGCAAAAACATTTTCTTAATAGTAACAAATCGAATGCAATAAGAGATAAATAGAACGAAGATCAATTACAATATTAGTTATTTACATGAAAAGCAACTAACTGACCGTACTTGTAGATTGTAATACAAAAAAAAAACAAGACAATGCATAGGCTTCCCTTATTTCAACACTATTCCAAGCTGTTTATTAATAGATTCATAGCTTACTAACCATTCATCATCAAGCATTAGTTGTGACTTACTGAAGAAGGAAACTTAATACAACAACAAAATAATAACAACATTGCGAAACACCGAGTAAGAGTCAAAAATTAATATTTAATTTAAATGAAAAGAAAAAAAACTTAGTAAAAATAAAAAAAATAATTTAATTCCTAATTTTAAGACAAATTTATAAACGAAAAAACGAGCGATACGAGATCGGCGCAAGTAATGATCACGAAAAAGTATAATACATAAAATACATATGCATATGTTTTCTATGTATTCGAGAAACAACATAATGTAAAACATTATTTTTATGAATAAAATAAAATTGGAAAAATAACGGTTGGCATCAATCTGGAAAAGTATGAGAAATCATCATGAAGCACGCTTAAATTATGTTTGGATTTGTGCTAGATCATAAAGTATACTAAAGCTTGTTCCAGTTAGAATCTGGACACAGAATTTATTTTGTAGCAGCGCCTAATTGTTGGTTCTGGAATGATTTGACAGCAGAGCTCCTGACAAGAGCTCCTCGTGCAGTGATGAAAGTTTCATCACAATTCGTTCTGATTTAAAAAAGTTGTATCCCATGGAAGACGAGAGAAGAATTGGCGAAAATCAAAACAAAAATAGCTACGGCACGAGGAGATGTCCCCGGGAAGCTAAATTTCGTTTTCGCCGACAAATTCGCTTGGAAGCCACATTTGGCAAGCTGTCACGACAGCTGGAAGGTATTTTAGTGGTATCGTGACAACGGAGTGTATTTTATCGAAAAGGACCATTTTGGGCCATTATCAAGCAAAAGTTGAAGATGGCAGGCAAGGCGATTCGAGATTTGGCCAGATTTCGGTACAAACTGGCCGCTGATGCAAACCAGAATTGACCAGAAGAATAACAAAATAGCAAATAGTTACAATTTCAATAAAGTTTATTCTCAAAGTGTTTTTGGGTTAGGAAGCAAAGTTTACAATTTTCAGAAATGAGAGGAAATGCTATACACTGGAGTCGCATTTTTTTTCGCGGTTTTTTTAGGCGGTTTTTTTTACACGGTTTTTTTTACGCGGTTAGTGCCGCTGAGTCACAATTTACGCGGTACGTTTTTAACGATTTCTCGACAACAATACGACCTATCGAGTTGATTCCAATCACATTATCCGTTTCAAAAATCGAATGGCATACTTTAAAAAAATCACAATTTTTGGTGTAAATACAAAATTTTTTAAAATATGTCTATATGGACCATAGCGCGCTATAATAACGAATGGCATCAAAATCCGATTTATAAAAATATTTAAGCATGTGAAAAATCAAAATATCGGAAGTTTTTTTTACGCGGTTTTTTTTACGCGGCACGTATCCCCCGCGTAAAAAGCGACTCCAGTGTACTTATATCAACATAAGAGAAAGTTCTAAAGAGGATAGATTGATAGTTCCGCTAGAGTACGGCAGTGTGAGCGAAGGGACATTAATAAGACAATAATAATCAAACGCGCCCTTTCTTGTCTAACTCATACATTGATGATTGAGGGAATTTGAGGTACCTCCTCAAACCCAAAGGCATAAAGTTCCACGTTGCCGAAAGCATTTCCAGGCGATGGTGTGTTAATAATAACATCGGCAATCAAGGATGTACCCTTAAAGAAACTGGAGACCATACATAATTCCGACTTAAGAATCATCAATGGAGCCTTCCGAAGAAGTCCAGTGCAAAGTTTGCAAGGGGAAACAGGTATTCCGAGTATCCGTGCATTGCTACATCAACGTACTGTCATCTTCGCAGCTAAATCAATCGCCATTCAACTCGGAGAACAGATTGTTGGGTTTGCAGATGATTCAGCAAGTGATATATTTAGCGCAAGTAGCAGTAGCTGCAGCGATAACGATAGTTCAGCTTAATTATGGAACACGCTGATTTGTGAGATTTTGGATATAGTGAAAGTTCGAGTAAACACATAATCGATGGTTTGGAACTCGACCTACCATCAATGAACATATTTTTAAGACCTGCAATAGCTCCATGTGATTTTGCACAGATTCCTATCGATAAAAGCTTTCTAAATGTTCTTCGTAAATGTGCTTCGTCAGCAGAAATAAAATAGCGATTTGGCAACATAAGATCGACAAAGTACCGCATAGATCGAACTATTGTAATCGATGGTTCGAAACACGGCAACACCTGAGCGTACTACGCAGCAGAGTGCTTTGCCTTGAAGGAAGCACTATTGTTTGTAGCAAATAGTGTTAGTGTGGAAGCATCCCGAGCATAGTCCAGCATCAAAATGACAGCAAATCGAAATCAAGTTTTGATATCAACATCAAAATGAAATCATAATTTGCTTTCAGTTTACGCAATTGATAAAGTTGATACCAAATTTTGTTTTCATTTTGCTGTACATTTGCAACAAAATATGTTGTTGTGTGTTTGTTTTCATTGCCTTAGCATAACATCAAATTGAATACTTGTTTTGTTATCAACAGGAAAAAAAAGGACATCAAATTTAGTTTTCAGTTTGCTCTCACTGATAGCAAAAATAGTTTTCAATGTGATGTCACAGGAAGATTTTTTTGCTCTTAATTTTGATATTTTAACCGTTAAAACGACCAAAACTACAGCAACCTGAGTAATCATTATCAGCGAAATCACAACATCAAATTTAGTTTTCAATTTGATCTCAGACTTTGCTCGGGTGTATCGACAAATCACTAAAAAAGGAAATACGGTACAGATCTGTTGGATCCCAAGCCATGTTGGTATAGTAGGAAACGAAAAGGCTGATACTGAAGCAAAGCGTGCATTGGAGGAACCCATTGAGGGCATAAAAAGTATCAACTGTCGCGATATTAGAATGATAATAAATAACGGGTTTATTTGGAAATGGTAGGCACAATGATAAATACTTAGAAATAATGAGCTCCAAGAAATTAAATGCACGGTAGTACCAGTTAGTTCTACAGGTTTATCCGTAGATCTACGGATTTTTAGAATTCCTACGGATCTACAGATCGACCGTAAAATTCTATGGATTTTCTAGATTTTTAAAAAGTGCTGAAGAAATTCTACGGATTTTAACAATTTTGGCTCATCCCTCGCGCATCACTTAAAAAAAACTTTTGGAATGACTGTTTTTGGAAAATCATTCTCAAATCTCATTCATTGAGCCTCCCTGCGAGAATAACCTCGCGTGAGAATGCGGCAAAAAAAAATCACGCATATTTACGCACTCACACTCACAACGCCGAAACATTATTCCAGCTCAAACGTCAATTGATTGCATGCTCATGCATGTTGTGTTAGTTTTCCAACCCCTGATGCACCAACAATAGTAATAACAATGAATAACGCCAAAATAATTTAAACCTTAAAACTCAACAGTGATTTTTGCGACGATGACTTTTGCAAGGCAAAACTCATAGGCGCATAAACTCATAAATGAGATTTGAGTTTTTGAGTTTTTCCCGAACACTACCACAAACTCTGGGCAAGATTTCATAATATGTTGAGACCCTTCGGAACATTTTGCCCGATAATTAACAATGGCTAGAAACCTCCGTACATAAGGACATATTGAACATATTCCCCTGCATACGACATGCTGCCATTCCATTCGCATAATGGAAAATTAAATCTTTCGAGTTGAAAGTCAAAGCATGGAGCATAGATTCTTCGAATTTATATTTTATGAAAAGTCCTTTCTCATCCGCAATCCGATAAGCAACTTCCATTGTAACCGGATCCGCATCTAGTGATTTCACGAAATTGACCATTTCACCCATGTTTGGTTTTCACTTCCAGTGCTGAAACTGAACTTTTTTTTTGTAGTGATCACAGTACACTTGCTTAAACTCTACACTGGACCCCTTTTATTGATAAATTTTGCTTCTATGAGCCTCTATTTTAAATCAACACACAGACGTTCCTAGGCTATGTGCCCGTTTGGTCACTGTTGTTATTGTGTTGATCCAAAAGTTTTGACAATATAATTGCGCATTCTTGTTTTTTTA